CGCCTCCCTAGTATTTGGGATTATAGGTTTGCATCCTCATGCCTAGCTTCACTTGTTTCCTGAGTCTTCCATGTCAGCACACTCTTCATTGTATTGGTTTATCATCTGTTGTCTTCTGTTTGCTTTTTCCTAATACTTTGCTATTCCCCACGATGCTGCCTATTATGTAATATGTAAAATGTAGTTTGGTGCATTGGAGAACGTATCTGAATAAACGGGTCCAGTGCCACTGCTAGAGCAGGGGCGTGTGCATTTGCCATTTTGAAAGATGGTCCCCTGAGTTGCAGCAGTTACCATTCAGCTCAGCCAGGTCTGAGCCTGTCTGCCTCCCCCACCTCTTCCAAGAAGGTGTCCTTGGGCTTTTTGATCTTTGTTAATCTGATGGACAAAAACAGCGTTTCATTGTACTTCTCCCTGTGCCTCTTCATCACACCTTTCATGGGGCCAATTTTCAAAGGACCATTAGTCCTTCTTTCGGAGTAAACTGTTGGGATCTTTTCACATCTTTTTTTTCCTACTCCATTTGTAGGTGTTTGTCAGAAATTTGTAACATGTGGCAAATCTCTCCCCATATTTAAACAGCAAAATCTAAATTCTTTTGAGTATTTTTCGTTATGCCTCTTTATTTCTCATTTGGTTTATTGCATTTTTCCTTTCTTTTGGAAATAATTAAAGATTTTTTTTAATGAAGTCTTTGCAACCATGCATTTAAAGCACATTTAGTAATATGTGAAAATATTAATTACCTAATTTTAGATAATTACTGAAATAATTTGAAGAAAGCCAATAACACAAACTTTTAAAAAGAAAATTCATTCATATTTTATAGACAAAAAAAAGAGAAAATGAGATACAGCCACAGGCTAACTATGTTTATATTAGATTAATAGTTAATGAGCTAAGGGGTTTCAGTTTTTTTGTACTTTTTTTTGGTCTTTTCTAAGATTGAGAAATTGATCTAAGATTTTTAAATTAATTTTTCTTAGTATAGTCTTAGAGTTACTGAAAAACTAAACCAAACAGTTGCCTAGCATGCACAAGGCTCTGAGTTCAGGCCCCAATACTGAAAAAAAAAAAGAAAAAGGGAATGGGAAAAACTAAATCCATACATAGTGTAGAGAGGTTTCATATGTTTTTCTCATTAACTTCATGGTCTCTCCTATAATTAACACATTAATGTGGAAGGTTTATCACAACTAATGAACAAATATTGCTACATTATTATTAACTGAAATCAGTACTTTATTCAGAGCTCCTTCCTTTTTACCTAAAGTGTTTTTTCCCTTCCCCAGGGTCCTATTGAGGATAGCACAGTACATTTAGTTTGTATGTCTTCTTGGGCTCCTCTTGACTCCAGCAGTTTCTCACACTCTCCTTGTTTTCAATGACCTTGGCAGTTTTGAGGAGAACTGGTCGGTATCTCCTTGGATGAGGCACTAATTGGAATTTGTTCTGTGTTATTCTCAGAAGAATAAAACCACCGAGATAAAGTGCCACTGCATTATGTCATACTGAGGATATGTGCATACTAACAACATGATCGATTAATATACTAGATAATAATATAATTGATAATGATAGATAATATAATGAGTTAGATAGGATTACATTGTTTATAAATGCTGTTAGTTTTGTTTTGTGTTGGTGGTATTTTCTCCCCCAAATAACTAGCTCTTGGGTTTTAAAAAATTAGTTCCATCATCTGTCTATTTAATTATCCTTAATTCCTATATTTTTATTTAAAAAATGTATTAGCATGAGTGTACCAGCCATGATTTCCTTGAGCACAGCTTTGGAGGCATCCCATAGATTCTAATAGATGAAACAGCTTTTTGTTATTGTTATTGTGTAGATATTTTCAATTTTTATGTAGATTTTTTTATCTGAGTTGTTTAAAGAGAGTTTTAAAAAATGTCCCAAGTGGTAGGGTTTTATGAGCCACAATTTTACGAGAGGTTTCCACTTTCTTTCTGTTCTTAGATTCTGTGTTATTTTTACTTTTTGGTGAGGTTTTATTTGTGAACTAGTGTGTGGGAAGTTGTTTTGATGGTCCTGCGAGTATGAAAGAATATACAATCTTTGCCTGCAAGGCCTAGAAGTTGATATGTATATCAATTAGACCTGTGTTATTAATTATGTAAGTTTAGCTTTTTCATGTTTTTATTTAATTGGGTCCATTGATCTGACACAGTTGGAGAGGGAAATTGAAATTACTTGCCTCTAATGTGTTTATGTCTCATATTTCCCTTAGCTTTTGCTCTCATTTCTAGAGCTCTTGTTTGATGTGTTAAAGCTTCAACTGAAGATCGTATTCTTCATTATTGTATTCTCCTTCACCACGTTTACACCCTTTTGCCCTGAAATCAAACGTACCTGCCTAATAGTAAAGTCGTATTTCCTTCTTAGTTTGGATTTATGCTTGTCTGGATGTCTTTTCTTTTCTTTTCTTTTCTTTTCTTTTCTTTTCTTTTCATAATTCTTGAGGCTATCTCTTGTATGTAGCCTATGGTTGGGGGGCTTATCTTGTTCCCCCGTTTTAAAATCTTTCCTTTTTAGTAGTTTATTATGGCCATTCATTGATGTGGTTGCTATTTTGTTCCTAGCTTCACTGTCACATTTTATGTCTTTTTGCTTTAGTTCCTCCTTAAAACAAAATCTTTTAGTACATGGTCTCTTTTATTTTGTGTTGTGCTCATTCTGACAGTTTGGAAGGTTGGTATTTTATTTTTAGCCCTGAAAGTTATCTTTATAGTAACAATGTAAAAGGAATTTAATCTTTTATTTAAATAGTTAAAGCTATCGCTCTTCTAAAGTATGCAGCTACAAAATTAGTTTACAAAGGCGGTCACAATTTTTATCTGCTTTGTGGCACATCTTTAAATTACTCTCTTGATTTGCTAGGCGTTCTCCCATTCTTTTGCCCTTTCATTGCCTTGATTTGAATGCGTGTTGCGCTGGCCCCTCTTCCACAGAGGTGAACTTTTCTTGGATCAGGATTTTACATGCAGCATATGGAGAAGGTGCCAGGAATTCTTTGGAAGGCAGCATTGCTCCCTGGTTCACAAAAAGTTTGTTCCCAGGATTGTGGTAGCGATCTCTTTCAGTCTTTGCTTCTTCCTCAGGCAGTGGAGATCTGCAGCTGTGGGCCTCTCCCAATTCAGAGCCCTGCCGTGTGCACCCTGCCTCACTAACACACTGCTTCCCGTCAAGATGGTTTCCCTGGTAGCCCTCCCCTCCTCAGTCCCCACCAAGTCAGAGGCGGCACCCACCACCGGACCGCAGATGCTCTTCCCATCATTATCCTGACTGAAACCATGGCTTCTACCCTCGAGGATGCCAGCTCCTGCCTGGCGCCGCCAGCTTTTCCCCAGATACGCAGCCACAGGTGTCTTCTAGAGGAGTTTTTCTCCATCTTGGACCTTCCCTGCTTTGGCAGCCCTTCACTGCTTTTGGCAGGCTTTTCTTTTACACTGTGTTTCGGGTTACAAATGTGTTCTAGCTTTGCTCAAGTGGAAGCTTGTGTTTCTGTTTTTCTCTCTCCTTGACTTGGGGTGCTTTCAGACATAAAAATGAGTAACTATTCTACTATCCTAAAACTGTCTAGTGCAGCACATTTTTATGTGCTCTGGTATTCTCTCACATCAAATATTAGCCAGAGCTCTCTGAGTACGGGTGACATCAGCTGAAGCTGAGATTTGACAGTCAAAAAGAAAGAAAGGAATGGGAGTTGAGGCTGAAATAGGAGGATTTAAAAAGATCCGCACATTGTAGCTGCCCAGGCAGTGTGGTGGCGGGGGTGCTTTCCTTCCCCAGCTGGATGTGGCCTGGGGTGAGCCACCGTTATGGTGGGAGGTCATGGACACGTAAGGCAATGCATGGAAAATGTCCTGTCTCCGTATCTGACTCAGGGGGTTGCTCCACGCCCAGCAACTCTCTGATCAGAGTGGGGGTGAGGAGGTACACGCCTCAGCTCAGGATGGGCCACAAGGCTCAGTCGCGTTTTCCCCACACCCAGGGCCCTTCCCAGCAGCCCACATACCCTGGGCCCTGGCTGGTCTTCCAGCAATTTAAGGAGGTCTTCTTCCTCCTTGAAAACTGGAGTCCTGTATCTGGGGTGCTATCAGGGGTAAGTGCTGTTAATGATTAAATACCCAGAGAAGTATGAGCGCACCCAAGGAGAGGGGTCTGTGGGTGTCCCCCGGAGAACCGAGAGGAAAACTGCTCACAGAGCCCTTCATAGCATTGTCCCTCATGAGAAATTTTCATGAGAGACATGAAGACATTCTCATTCCATGAGCAATCTAGAGTCTCAGAGGCTTAGAGGCAGAGCTAATAGGCAGAGTGAGGGATCTGGACGCAGTTCTGTCTGGATCCGGAGCTTGGACACCAGCTCCCTTACCTTCCTTTCCAGCTGCATTCATTTTCCCATAGAGACAGCACCTTACCCTCAGACGACTGCCTAGTGTCCATTTCGCTGGGTGACCCCATTGGGCCCTTACCTGTGTCTTGCTTCTCAAGCCTGGCTACATTCTAGGATGCTTTTTAAGCTCCCCAGAGTAGCCAGACTTGGGAACCAATGAACCACACCCTGAATGTCTATGCCCACCGCCGCCCTGACAAGCTGCACCTTCCCTGGGCCCAGTCCTTATTTCTAAAACAATTAGCTATGGCTGCTCCAACGTACCACACAGACTCGGAAAACAGATGGCCTTCATTCCAATATTGGCTCCCTCCCTTATGAGCTGTGGGACTTCTCATTACTTACCCTTGCTGTGCTCTGTAAAATGGTAAAAACAGCGTTCATGTTTTCTAGGGAGGTCTTAGGGATTACGTGAGTTCATCTAAATCATTTAGAACCGTGTCTGAGCCACGGCAGGTTCTAGTTTAAGCGCGGTGGCGATGCCTTCAATGGGCTCGGCCAAGGCATGGGCATAAATGAAAGGCTGAATAACTGGAGGTCTATGCTGCTCTGATAACGGGTGCCTTTTGCTTCCTTCCAGGAGCTTGGGCCCCTGCCACAGCCCGGTAGAGGCTGTGGAGGTCGACAGTCCGGAACTCCCTGTCCCGAGGTCCACCCCGGGCCGTGGGGAGTGGAAGTTCCCGCGAGGTAGCGGTGGCCTGCAGCGGCCCCCTCCGCACGGCGAGCCATGGGCCAGAAGCTCTCGGGCGGCCTCAAGTCGGTGGATGTGCGCGAGCCCGCGCTGCGGCCGGCCAAGCGCGAGCTGCGGGGCGCAGAGGCGGGGCGGCCCGCGCGGCTGGACCAGCTGCTGGACATGCCGGCCGCGGGCTCCGCGGTGCAGCTGCGGCACGCGTGGAACCCGGAGGACCGCTCGCTCAACGTCTTCGTCAAGGACGACGACCGGCTCACCTTCCACCGGCACCCGGTGGCGCAGAGCACGGACGGCATCCGCGGCAAGGTGGGCCACGCGCGAGGCCTGCACGCCTGGCAGATCGACTGGCCGGCGCGGCAGCGCGGCACGCACGCGGTGGTGGGGGTGGCCACGGCGCGCGCCCCGCTGCACTCGGTGGGCTACACGGCGCTGGTGGGCAGTGACGTCGAGTCCTGGGGCTGGGACCTGGGCCGCAGCCGCCTCTACCACGATGGCAAGAACCGGCCCGGCGTGGCCTACCCGTCCTTTCTGGGTCCCGACGAGGCCTTTGCACTGCCCGACTCGCTGCTAGTTGTGCTGGACATGGACGAGGGCACACTCAGCTTCATCGTGGATGGCCAGTACCTGGGCGTGGCCTTCCGTGGCCTCAAGGGCAAGAAGCTGTACCCGGTGGTGAGTGCCGTCTGGGGCCACTGCGAAGTCACCATGCGCTACATCAATGGCCTTGATCGTAAGTGTGAAACGTGCTGGGCTGGGAGGGCTGGGGGCGCAAAGGCTGCCTGTCCCTAGAGGGCTGGGGAGGGAAGACACAGGACCGGTAGGTGGAGCAGCAGTTGGGATGATTCCACAGCATAGGTTAGGACCCGGACTTGAATTCTTACCTCCTCCTAGGCTTGGTGATTTGGTGCTTCCGTTTTCCCATCTGTAAAAATGGCGTGGTAATGGGAATCTAGCTGAGGACTGTCATGAGGATCAAATAAGACAACACTGTATATGTGCTCAGAGGACTGACCGGCACCTAATAAGGGCTTTGCATGGTGATGCTCGTTACAGATCTTCCCGGCTGTACAGAAATGTACAAAATGACCCAAGGTAGTCAGAGCAGGAGGCAAACACAGTTACTGGGCTTTTATGCCATCCATGCTAGTTACCCATGAATAATAAGCTACGAGCGTTATGTAACATCCGATGCTTACTGACCACTTACTATATGCGGGGACTGAACCCTGAAATCCTAGCTCTTGCTGTAAGCCATCTGTTAGAGGAGGAAAGAGCCTCTCATCTCCAGCTATTCCCTCATGGGAATGAGAACTCTGGGTTGTGCAGTCTTTGGATTTTTCCAGGAGTACCCAAAAAAATCTAGATTGTGTAAACTGTCCTAGTTTTTAAAGTGAGCAGCCGCTGAAAACTGTGGACAAGCAGATCACCTTTATGGGTTGCAGACAAGCCCACAAGCTGTTGAGTTTGGCCCTCTGAAAACTCTAAGGTCTTATCTCATGTGATATGCGCGACCATCCTAGGAAGCAATTTGAAAACCATAGTAACAAAAGTGATGATGGTTTTAGAGGGAGTCACTTGGGGATGCAGGTGACCTTCAGCTGCAGGTCCTGCCTTGAATCCCAGCTGAGGAGGGCCAGAAGTCAGGCACGGTGACCGGGGCTTGCTCAGTTCCACACACCAGCCCGGCAGCACCTGCCCGCACTGAGTTCCTGCCACACCCCTCCGAAAGTGAAGACAGTACTCACCCCAGCAGTCCAGCTTTTTCACTTCATTTTAAATGAGAGATGAGAAAATGCCGGTGAGGCAGCTTTCAGACGCTTCTTGAGAGGTGAGAAAATGAAGAGCAGAGTTACAGAGTCCACCCCAAATCGTTGGCCTCCGAAACTATCTCCTTTCCCATGCTCCTCCTCTGGCGGAGGGACTGACGGAAATACTCCAGAAAAGAGCTCAGGGCAAAGCACTAACTCATGTCAAATTTGTATTTGTTTGAGCAAAAGGTGTGTTGATGGCTTTCAGTGGTGACAGGCCAACAGAAGAGTAATTGGCATGCTCAGCTCTTGGGTATAATTGCTGACATTCTTGCTCAGGTTTTATTTTCATAGTCGCTGGACTAAGGTTGCCGTTGATGGCAAGCGTTGCCTTGTTTTCCCTGTGTAGCTGGGTAAATCTTGCAGCGGATGAGTATGTCCTGAGCAGGGCTGATTTAGTCATCCCGGCGTCTTGTGGAAAGAGTCTGAAGTGCTCTTAGACGCGGTGACCAGGCAAACCCCAGTGGTAAGAAAACACAACAAGCACTGTGTAATGGAATTGGAACGTTTACTTATTGAAATTAATCACTGGACTGAAAGGGCGACTTTACCATACCAAGGCTCTGGAATCTGATTAGCCTTATTTCCAACTGTGTCTCCAACACTGAGTGGTTATGTGCCTTTGGTGAGTCACTCTAACACCAATGAGACTCAGCTTATACATCTGTAAGATGGGACAGTTGGGTTTCAGGTCCCTTTCTTAGCCTTCAGGTTATCTTGTATGTTGGCACCAATAACATGGTAGCTAGGATTAAAGGTTTGGCGTTGATCCTAGTTGGGGCTACCAAAGCCAACAGTTAGGCCCCCACAGTAGGCTTCCTCTGGGCTATGAATTCATATCAATATGTTACTTGATTTTAGTACAGCACTCAGGTTCTAACAAGGTTGCAGCCAGTGGCTCCCGTTAGTGCATCTCTTCCCTGCTCAGGCGGTGGGGCTGGGGGAAGGAGCAGGAAGGACAACTGTGTTCTGGACGTCCTGAGCTCATGGGTCTTTCAGATGGTTGAAGAAGTGCAGTGGGACTGAAACCTGGAGTGTGTGAGCTTCCTCTCCATTGTGTGATTTTTCATTTAGGCAGAACCTGGAATGCAGGGGAAGCCAGGAAGGATGTCTTGCACCACAAGTGTGTGACATCTCCCGTTTGACAACACCATTGGCTTTTCCAGTGTGCTCTGGTCTGTTTTCCAGACAGGAGTAACAGCCACTATCGGGGCAGATGCGTGCGTGCTCAGCTTGGCACAAGCCCTGACTAGAGGGTAGACTATAAGCCAGAATGCAGTGGAGTTCAGGGGTGGGGTGGTGAGTGGGAAAGTGACCCTGGCTGAAGGTCACCGTGGATCCCTGGGGACTGGGAGTAGCTGGGCCCTGGGGAGTCCCTGGGCAAGGAAGGTGATGCAAGGTGGAGAACTGTAGATGAGAAGAATTCTCAGCCAGTGTTGGGTACAGATATGATGGAAGGTTCCCAAACCCAGACTGAAATGGAGTTCAGAGGACCAGAGTCGGAGACATTCTCAGGAGCAAAAAGTGGGGCTACTTCCTGGGATGGCTTCCCCAAAAGATCACGGTAGGAGAGAGTTCTGTGGGAGGGTTCACAGACTCAGTATGCTCTGTCCACAGTATGCAGCAGGAAGCCTTGGGCAATTCCTGCTCCTCAGTATTCTCCTTTGCAAAATGGGGATAAGAAAGCTCACCAGGACCGAGCAGAATTAGCAAGCAGGGCTCACTGGTCAGATGAACTAGGTGAGGTGGGGCAGGTTCTGGGATTCACCTATGGAATAAAAAAAAATGGCTTTCACAGAGGCTTTTTCTCTAATGTGGCGGAAGAAAGTTAATGGGTATCACTTTTGCAATTTCTGAATTTTTAGGACTATAAAAGCTTGACTTAGAAAGGTCTTACCGCACTGAACTCTGAAGCATGTGTTTGTTGCGGACAAGAGCTCCTGGCAGGGCAATTTCCTGTTGCAATTACATAAAGTTGTCAAACCTTTTGCAAGTGAAATTGTTCTCTCACTACACGGAGAAGGGGAATGGCTCAGCATCTGGGCCTTTACTGCAAAGAGCTGCAGATCCAAGGGCTCTGCCCTCTGAGTGAGCGGAGAAGCATAGAACCACATCCCAGCAAATGGATAAGCTGTCTCGAACTGTCCAGGGTCTTAATAATAATAATAATAGTAATAATAGCAAAACCAACACAAGTGAGTGCTTATATAACAACTCTTTGAGCTAATACCTGCATTACAATCTTCAGTTTACCATGAAGAACCTGAGGCACAGGGACCTTGAGTAAGTTGCGCAAGGTTACACAGCTCGTAACTGTGTAACCGGCCCGGCAGGGACTTGGTGGAAACATTCCCAGACCAGGAGAGTCCGCTCCGCCTGGCTGTGGGGCAGTGCAGCAGAGGGCTGACCCTGCCTTCCACAGCAACAACGTGGATGAGGCCCTGACATGCCGTCTCTGTTGTTTTTTCCTCCTCCACCGCTTCATCTCCAGCCCTCAAAGCCCTTGGCTTACCACAGAGCTCTGCGGGGTGCTCTGAAAGGCTAAGTTGTATAAAGACAGGCCCAGCTGTGGCTGTGAATCAGGCATGCTTGATCGCTAATGGGGGAATGTCTCTGAAAATGTCCCAACTGCTGTGAGGTTCAGCCCCTGGGCTGGGGGGGATGGGGGACGGTGTTCGGGCCTTTGGAATCTGCTGGGCTGGTTTCCAGAGTTTGGCCCCAGCTCCTCTTTGCACATGTTGGTGGCTGGGAGGGCGGATAGAAGGGCTTTGTCTTCTGTTTTGAGTTCCTGGGTGGTAAGTGGTGTGTGAGTGATAGCAGAAGAGAGGAACCCAGACAGAGACAAAGGGCCCTCGGGTCCCCAGCAGCTCGATATAGGAGTGTGAGTGATAGATACCACCCATGTTCTGTGCCCTGGGTTTTCCTCACTTTTTGTTTAAACTTTTAGCCTCAATAAGTTTTTGAGGCACTATTACTGTTGTTATCCCAATTTTGTAGATGGGGAAACTGAGCCTTAGAAAGGTGAGCTATCTGCCCACGGCTAGCAAACACCCACCAGGCTGTGCTGAAGTCCGGACCCACTCCCCTGCCCAGCCCCCACAACTCTGTGCCAGCCTCTGAGGCCCAGCCTGCCTTGCCCCATCTGCTTGAGCACAGTTGGACCCACGGAGGGATCGTCAGCACTCAGGGCTGGCTTTGGGCTCTGCATGGAAATGCAGGGATCTTGGGACTGACTGACTGAGAAGGCCTGTCCACCTGCACCAAGCAGAGGAAGCTGCATTGCCAGACGTCGTTCCTAGATGGTTTAATCGATCTGCCAACAAGTATTTATTGGAGTAATAGCACAGTAGAGGAGGCTGGCAGCCAGCCAAGGCTTCTAGTATTGATGAAGGCCAGAGAGAGTTTTCTACCAGGACACTGCAAGGACACTACCCCCTTGTCAGAGTGTCCTCCGGCTCAGCGGTGAGCCCACCACCCTCCTGCTCCGTGTGCATGCACTTCAATGGGACAGCGAAGTCCTTCCACCTCTTGACATCTGGACTAGCTCCTCCACCGAGGTCCACGCCTGGTGTCCTCTTTATCCCTTCCCATGTTACTGTGTCCTGACCCCAGCTCACACCCAGCCCTATCTGTATCTTTGTAGCATCAGCTCAGTGCTGAGTCCGCTCTGCCTGTGCTCCCAGGGGTTCCCATGGGTTGTCCTCCTGTCACTCATTGTTTCCCTTGGGTTGTCCTCTTTCCCCAAGAGAAAGAAAGTCCTCAGGCAGGGATGATGAGCAGGATGGATGTACAGGCAAGCGGGGACTCCATATTTACTTTTGGAAGGTAAGCTGTGCATTTGGTAATAAACGCAACACTACAAAAATTGCACGATCAAGTAGCTCCCCCACCCATACACTGCTTCCAGCTGCCTCTCCATTAA